CATTTACTTGCATGAAAATCACGAGTCTTTCCTTTATGCTTCTGACAGAAATGTTTCAATTCAATTAGAGGAATTACATTTAGTATCTGCATATTTATCAGCTGCTGTCTGTTATCCTAACATGTAAAGGCAGAAGATGGAATATGTTTTTATATCCATATCAAATAGCATGAGAGCGCTGAAACACATGAGTATAGCTTAGCATAAACTTCTTAAAATGAGTTGAACTAGGCACTCATCTCTTTGAACACCCTAAATGAACACTTGCCAAAATGGAAAATGTGCTGTGTTTTCATTGACAAGAAAGGAGTTTTACAAAAGATAAGATTCAATTTTATAACCTAGATAATTAGAGTAAACAAAGGGAAGACAAGATATTGGAATTCTTTTCAGTTTGTGTAATTTTTTATGTAGGGATTTGTATTGAAAGTATTCAATTCAACAATGCAGGTATGATCTTTTTTAGTCTACTGTACTTCATATCTTGAAAATATGAGCATGTATAATGAAGGTATGATCAAGCCTGATACATGATGTCTTAGGCAGAGCTCATATGGGATGACATCTTGGTTTTCTTTCCAATACCAAGGACAGAGTGGTTTAAGAAACACAAGGGCAGCCTAAAATAACCAAGCTAGAAGTTATAAGCTTTGTTCTACTATTAACAATGATCTGTGAAGCCCACTGCAAATCATCACCTGCCAGGCCCAGACATGTGGCAAGAGTCCTTTACTGCCATCTGCGTGCTGTTTCCTGACTGTGACACTGCTCATGTTGCCTGTGTTGGATAAAACAATTCTACACAAACTGTGCTTTTTTACAGACATTTTAAGAAACCCTACATGATATTACAGTGTTAGATTACAAAGAAATATAAATAATTTCATATTATGAAAAAAATAGCACTTTTCTTCCCACCAATGGCACCTCCTCTATCAGTTCAGAGGACTGTGGGGTGAATCAGATTCCTACTCACATCATTCACAGCTGAACACAAAATCTGTGTAATGAATGGAAAAAGGGGGTTCAAAGAAAGAAAAATAATTTTACATGCATTACCTTGTAGGGCTAAGTTTTAGCCTTACTTCTGCTATGAAGCTTTTGTGTTGTACTGACAGTGTACAATTACAGCGGTCCCTTAAATCAGAAATCTCCTAGATCATTTCATGCTCTTCATTTGATGTCCTCCACGTGACCCATGGAACCTGTTTTAGAATTAAGGTAAGTACTTTGTGCTACTCCCAACAGCCCAGAGAATCTCTGCTACTAGTACACATAAATTACAAAAACACATTATGAAATTATACTATGAATGCAAATCATGAAAAAACACCTCCTTCCTTGTTTTAGGTAAACTTGGGAATCAACAGTAGTCCTTAACTTTAGTTCTCCCATCTGCTAAACAGGAAAGTGACATCCTTTAACACAGGAACACACTGAAGTTATGTTAATGAGCAGATAAGGACCACTAGGACACTAGGCAAGACTACCATAGAAAGTATTTCTACCCTGACATGGTCAGTATTTCTACATTCAGGATAAGGAATCTTAGGAACAAAAGGGAGGGTCATGCCTCAAACAAAGAAAACTGAAGCAAATATCAAATTACTACTTATTTTGTGGATACCACCCATTCAGGGTGGTAAACTAGGCAGTGATATTATATGAGATCTTGTAATTAAAGACACTTTTGCATTGCATACAGTGCAAAGGGTTGTATGAAGCTTGTGAAGACTTCTAGATTTTCCATCTTTTATGGTTTTGATTTTGCACCCATTAAATTCTCCAAATGAAGTATTTCAGAATGCAAAAGGTTTTATCATTTATTTCAGAGTCCACTGATGAGATTTCCAGCCCTTCACAGAAAATAGTTATGCTCTTATATCTCAAAGTTAGCTGAGAGTACTTTCATATTCTTTATCACATGCTCATCATGTTTTGGTAATGGAACTGAAACATCTTTTAATCAACAGGTATAAATATATTCCATCATAACATGAATAATGCCAGCCAAATTGGGCTTTTGTAGTCTATTAAACAAGTAAAATACTAATGACAATAGAGGTACACTAGTGTAATTTAGTGGAAGCTGAAGCTCTATAGTCTATATTTGCAAAATCACTCCAGTTCATACTTGTCATTGGAATAATTTTGCAGGGATTTTTTGCACCTGTACAACTTGGAAAATTTATGCCTTTAAATTTTTGTTTTTATTTTGCATTTGATCTTTGAATGAGCATCTCAGACTGTAAGACCATGTTTAGGAGGTAACATACCATTTTCTGTATCTGTGAGATGAACATGTATGGTCCAATACCTCTTCATATCAGTCACCAATTTCATTTTTCTTTAACATAAAATTTCTGGAAGGCCAGAGGGGAGAGGAAAGCAAATTGCCTGGTAAGTAAATGCAAAATACTTTTAGAGGATGGAAGGAATTAATTGCCTACCACATGTGGCAGTCAGGTTATCTCCTGAAGCATGACATTTCATAGATTGACAAGGAATAAAAGTAGTATCTGTTATAAAATGATCTAACCATTAGTCTTACTGGTTCTTTGCCAGGCTAACCCTTTCAATGAAAGTGGTCTCATATACTCAGAAATATTATAAAATTCAAGTTTCTTCTGCACCTCTTTGCTATCTGTTAATGTTTGGTTATTTTAACCTTGGCTCACATCAGTAGATTAGAGTCTTTCACCTATTCTGCGACTCTTCTATTGACAACATTCCAAGAGATAAAAATATTTCCATTTTACAGACCAGGCAACAAAATATATTGAGAAGACTAGAGGGGCAAAGGAGTTTGGTGTGCTCTCACTCCTGGAATGTCATAGGCCAAAGTTTGGCATTAGGCTTCTAAACAGTGCATGGAAAGAGCCTGGAATGCCATGTTGGGATTTGTTGGGTCAATGTCCGAGTCAAGAGTCACTTCAAGCTAGCTGATGCTGCACAGTTTTGGTAAATTGAAGGAATGTTACTCTTTCTTTCTCTGACTGCATATCACGGTTCTTTTACCTCCTCCTAGACTAATATCAGCCTTTTCTCAAAAATGACCTTGGAAGAGTTTCACGGCAGCTTCTGCCTCCCCTAATGCAGTGTCAGTGGTTAAAGCACTCCACCCACCTGGGAGAACATACTTCCAGTTCCTTTCACTAGTTGCAAGGAACTTGCAATCTCCAGATGAATTATTTTACTATGAGGTTGCATACTGTGGTGATATTTGATGTTTGTAGTACTGTCTGTTGAAACTGCTACATTTTGCCAAAATACAGAAGGAAATAGTAAGCATGAACATGGCTGGTTAGGTGCCATGGTGGTTGGGAGGAAAAGCTATGAACCATTTTCTGCTCCTCTGAATATTTAATACATGAGACAAACATTCATTGAATTCAGATAATATTTACTTAAGCCATTAGTCAATATTTTCCTCATTAAGGATGGCAGGATTTGACCCATTCTACAATCAATCCAGTGGCACCAGGTAAATAACATCATTTTTAACTCACATTTTTCATACAGAAGGCTTCCTTAAGAAAATGGAATTAAATTTACAGATGCAGCACACATAATATTTAGATGTAATATTAGCTCCATTGGGAAGAAAAAAATCCTGAAAGTTAACAAAAATTGATTGATGCTCCCTGACTGGAAGTGTCTGAAATTTTTTGCATGATAGCAATATGGAATGTGTTAACTCCATGAACACCAGTCTCCTTTACAAGCGCTGTTGCTATTCTAACCACATTATCAACCTCACACATGTTTACCTCAGGGATATTTAGCCAGCCATAATTGACTTTTGCACAAAAGAAAGCTGCAGGCAAGGTTTAATCCTTTTGGGTTTGCCTTCTCAGTAAAATAAACAAGTATCTAAGAGAATTGTAACTAGATCGAGTATAAGATCAGAGCATGGGGTGAACCTGTTCAGGCTCCTTCAATTTTATAATTCTTAAAACTTTCACAATTAGGATATCTGGAAATTAACATCTTTGCATGTAAGATGTTACAAATAAACAGAGAATTCAACATCTCCACTTGTAATAACAGCATTTCTCTAATTGCTATTTAACCATGTCAGATTCCTTTATGGAGGTGGAGTTTAAAAAAACCTATTGTACTAATATCACACTAAACTTTAGCTGCTAATGTTAATGCCAGGTAGCAGTGATTGCACATAAACTCTAGGTGAGATTAATCTTGGTGAGATTAATCATTAATATGGTAGGTGGTGTCATGGTTTAACTCCAGTTTTCAGCTCAGCCCCACCCAGGAGGATGGGGGAGAGACTCAGAAGGGTAAAACTGAGAAAAAGCATGAGTTGAGATAAAGAGAGTTCAGTAGGTAAAGAAAAGTTGTGCACACAGGCAATGAAAAGCAAGAAATTAATTCACAACCTCCCATGGGCAGGCAGGTATTCAGCCTGGAAAACAGGGCTCCACCATGAGTAACAGTGACTTGTGGAGACAAACTCTTGTCCTCCCCTTTCTTCTCCTTCCCCCAGCTCTATATGCTGAACATAACACTGTATGATGTGGGATATGTATGTGTGACAGTTGGGGTCATCTGTCCTATGTCCCCTCCCAACTCCTTGTGCACCCCCAGCCCCCTCTCTGGTGGGTGGGGGGAGAAGCAGAAAAGCTCTAGAGTCTGTTATTGCTGCTCATCAATAAAAAAATCACCCCTAAACTATCAACCCTGTTTTGGTCGCAAACCCAAAATACAGTCCCATAGCAGCTACTATAAAGAAAATTAACACTGCCCCAGTCAAAACCAGCATTGGTGGCAAAGACTGGTATTCAGTAGATCTTTTAACCTCACTCTACCAGGGAAAGAAAGCAAGCCTGTAGTGCTTTTACTCACTGCTCCCAGTCCTGCACAGATTTGTCTTGTGCTGATACCAACATTTGTATGAATATATAGTAAATTGTTCAGGGAGCTGATCTGGCTGAAAACCAGCCATTTTCACCCAAGGTTAGTTTTAGCTCCGATCCACTCACCACATGGTGCATCTCACACTTCACAATGAACACATGAAGAAGGAGGACTCCAAGACTGTTTCTTCTGACAGCAGGGCCAGCTTAAACTGATAATTCATCTTTGTCTTCAAATAGTTGGAAAGAAGCATACTCTGGAGTTGCATCTTCTCCTTGCTGACAAAAAAAGAAGTTCAGAAAATTAGCTTGATCTTAAATTTCTAATTGCAGATAGCTGAAGTGGGAGACATCTCATCCATGAGCAAAGCAGGCCATACTATGATAAAAATTCAAAACAAAGTATTATTTTATGGTTTTAACCCCCTGTATCAGGTCAATCATCTCAAGTGTAGGTAAAGGCAATCAGTGCTGAGCTATGCAATAGATGAGAAGATAGGACAGTCAGGATAAAATTGTTGCTTTATAAAATGAACAGCAAATCTCTTGTTGATGTAGAGCACATAAGAATTTTATCCTACAGTCCTATGTTTTAATCTGTTTTTATCCTTTGCTTATTTCTTAACAAATCAATTAATTTACCTCTCCTTTCTCTGTTTGTAATATGGTCATTGATAGGACTGTATTTGTAAAATGCTTTCTAATAATATGTATGAAGGAATTATTTAAATGTTAAGTACATTATTATCTATTATCTGACAGGTCATCTGCTCTACTAGCAGAGCAATTACAGAAAATGTCCTATATATTTATATGCAGATAAATCTAGACTTAAGTGAAAAGATTGAAGGGGGAAAATGACTGATTTCCTTAATTTACTCTTTTATATATGAAATTTTGTATGAAAGGTTTTGTAAACTGTTCTCTGACCTACGTTATAAATCGTATTCCCTGCAGGAAAAAAGAAAAAAACCCAACCACTTAACTTTTAACTTTCATCACTACTCAAGTAACTGTGGTCCTACTGAATGTGTATGTGGAAACAAGCAGTAATTCCTAATCAGAGAATGATATTCTACACACAAAATAACAGAAAGAAGTTTTATTTTCTAAATATAGCAAATTGAGGTGTTTGTAGCAGATACAATCATTTTAAGCATGTGTGTGTGTATAGGAGAGGTGTTGTACTGAGTCAGGCATGATATTATTGCTTTAATCAAAAAGTAGCAATCATGGAATGAAAGCCTGTAAAGATACTATAGATAGATATAGATATCTATAGATACCTACATACAGTTATAGATATACATATAGCTGTATCTATAGATAGATAAATGTAAATAAAGATATTTATGGCCTATAGATGCTTTACCCTCTTCCTATTTTCTTGTTTTTTCCTGAAAATCTATAAAGATATCATTGAGAAAAACCTTTAAACTGGGTACCTTATAGTATTACTGTAGGTTTGCAGAATGTAGCACAACTTTGCTTTATTGCTAGTACATTACAGTCACAGTGTTAGGGCAACCAAGTAGTATTTAGAGAGGGGGCAAAATGCCAGTCTCATGAGAACTCTGCCTTCTTTCAAGAAATAAAAACATTACTCAAAAGATGACAGGAAAGGGTAACAAACATTTGAATACCAAAGGCTGGAGATGACTGAAACAAAAAGAGAAGCGATAAGAAGGACAATTAACAACTGCACTGTGGTTGAGAAATAGAAATATTTTCTAAAGGGTGTAGTGACATATAAGAAATCCAGAAAGTCAAGTTATAAAAAAAGAGCCCAAAATCCAGTATCCTGTGAATATAAAAATCTGTAAGAATGTCAGCTTTAATAAAACGTACACCTTCAATATGTAGTTGCAACTGAAAACTCAAAAAAGTACGAAGCTGAATCTAGTTACATACTGGAAGAAAACCCAGGATCTTCTCACTGATTGTATTCTGTAGTGATGGCACTCACAAATAACAACGTTTGATTAATAAAAATAAGGGTATTCTCATGAAATGTATAGCCACACAAATCTTAATTTCTTTTATCAAAGTAAATGGGGGATCATAAAATGGTTAAGGTAGGAAGGGACATCTGGAGGTCATGCGGTCCAACCCTCCCTTCATGAAGGCTCACCTAGAGCTGTTTGCCCTTTACCATGTTCAGAGGCTTTTGAGTATCTCTGAGGATGGAACAGGGAAGTTACACCACAACTCTAGAACTGTCTCTACAGATACTTTTGATTGTCATTCCATAGAAGGATGAGGAGGACTTCCAAAATATCCTCAAAATCTTCTTATAGACCTTAGAAAAATCTGGGCTATATTAAATCACTATATTAAATGGTTTTGGGACTGGTTCTATTATTAAAGGAACAGCAATCCCTTCTACAGATTGTGAGCCTGAGAATAGAAAGCTGTAGGACATATGTAAAAAATGCTAATATATTGCAATTTAAACTCCTGTATAAAAATTAGACTAGGTGTATGGAATCTAGAGAGATTGAAAGCACAAGTTAAGCCTGCATTTAAACTAATACATCATAGAAAATATAAAGAGATACTACTAAATATACTGCATTAAAGATAAAGACAGTTTATTATTCATCATCCATTTTTAATACATCAAGATTTTTCTCATATACTTATGTAGCTGCAGAAAACAGGAAATAATTTTTGCTTAAATCATTAAAAGATGGATTACTCCTATTTTGGAATATTATATGCCATTAGCAGTTTAAAATCATTAAGAGGTGGTATAATCTTTTATTATAGTGTTTCTAAAACCTTCCAGAGTACTTGCAAAGCTGAAATTTGTTTTCATGTATATGAAAAGATAAAAATCTTTTCATTGTATTTTAGATTTTAAATGCCATGTCAAGTTGAATTACATTTTAAGAATTGTCACTTATGCATTGGTTGTGTGATTTGTCAGTCAATGGGCTGGTGTTATTAAGGAATGAAAAGGCAGGAAGCAGCAATTTTACCAAGGAACATGTCTGTCCTGGTCTGCTTGGTAAGTTTAGGGACAAGTTGTTTGATTTACTCTGGGCAGTGCAGAGGAGAAACAAGAAAATTCTCAAGATGTTCAATAGCAAATTTTTACTTGCAAATTTAGAATATTGAGATACAATATGGTACTTGGCAAATTTTAAAATGTAGCCATTTTGGTTAGAAATGCAACAAATAAAAGCATAAAAATAATGCTTGAGAAAATGTATAATGGAAAGAAAAGAGAAAAAAGTTTAGAGCAGAAGTGTACTTAGTCTCACCCTTGGATCCACAAATAAGACTTGATTGTTGCAATTTTGATGTTGTTGGTTGAAGTGCTGGGGGCAGTCCTGATCTATTGGGGTGGGGGAAACCCATGAAACCCCAAATCCGGTGGGTTAATATTATGCTCAGGCTCACTGGGATTGCCCAGGTGCCTCTCCTGGGTGGGAAATTTTACACTGTATGATATAATACTGTGCATCATGGGACACTCTGGAGTCTTTGACACCTTCTAAGACATGACAGCTGCCTCTTATGTGTTGTAGTTTATCAGTTAGATAAGGGATGGACCTTCAGGCTTATGTCCTGGTACTTGCCTGAGGGGAGTTTTCACAGCTAAGACACTTGCATAAGGACATTGACGTGACAAAAAAGCACTACCCCACCTTGCAGGAGTTGCCTCTTTGTTTGAGAACAATTCTGCAGTGAGTAGATTAACAAATCAGGGCCATTTCCAATGCAAGTTTCTAAAGAACATCAGAAATGCATGCAGGTTGTAACACACACTGGTGAGGTGTAATGGAGTTCAGTACATATTCTACTCCTCATCCTCCAGCAGAGTATTCCAGAACACTATAGCATCTAGAACATTCTCTGGAGCTATCTACAAGCAATCTTCTTCAATACTGTACTAAATTCAGTATGCTGCAATGCCTGTCAGTTAATTACTAGCACCAAGATTGAGGGCAGCATGGCAACCAGTTGTTTCTTTTCTTAGGGGAATAGACATTTTAATGAACAAATATATGAGAAAGTTACACTTTCTTCTCTCCAAAACCTTCAAACCTACACCCTCCAAACCTTCCCATTTCAATTATTGCATTTATATTTTGATCTCACAGAGCCTATTTTCCATGTACATTGTAAAATGTCCATTGGGAGCCATTCAATGTATGAATAAATAATTTTCTGTATACTATAATGTATGTCTGTTAATGGCACCACAAATATACTGATCTCAACCATCTACTTATCAACATGGTTGTCTACATCAACACATGCAAAAAATTGTAGTGTACAACGGCTGGCAAACCACTCAGGACAGCAAGGGGAAACTTGCAATGAAAGATTGTACCAGAATTTGTGTAATTACAAGATTCACAAAGAGATAAGTTTCCTGTCTCTGCTTCACTTTTAAATTTCTGCCATATAACATGATCAAGGCGTTATGCATCTGAATCCCAGTTTTCCCATATGCTAGCCAGAGGTTATCCATTTGTTTGTGGGGTGGCTGCAGGCCTTCCCATTCTCATGTCCTTTATTCTACTTCCAGCTGCCCTGAACAGTGACCAATAAGTTACCAGTCTGCTGCAATCAGTTTCCCAAGTCATTTCTGCTCCTACAACAACAAAAAAAAAACTTTTACTTTTTCTTTTTAAATTTTTTATTACTCAGATCAATACAATCAGAGTTCTGAGTCTGTCTCGCCTGCCCTCGGCACCGGCAGCCACTGTGGGGAGCAGCCGGTTTCTCAGCAATGGTCATGCTCAGAGAGAGATTTTTTTCCCCCCACACCAAGTTCCTCCTAATAACTTCCTCTGAGGTGCCAGGGTGGCCCTGCTTCTCTTCACCACAACTCGCTCACTCTGTCCTGCCATATCCGCTTTGTAAAATGATGCCTTCTAATTTTAGGCCCATTTTTTCCCTACACGTAGTGAATGCTCTGTTAATCTTTAGGAATGGTCCTCCCAAGAAGGCTGTAACTTCTATTTTAAGGAACATTACAGTCTGGGTGAATGAATTTTATGACTGCAGTTAGTACTATTTCTAATCTGCCTTTGTTATTTAAGGTTTGGTAGAAGGTCACAGAAGTTTAAATCCTGGACTACGTCAGAAATCATCTGCCTGAAAAGTTTTAAACTTCCTGTTCTTTTACAGATCTGACCCTGCATTACTCTGCATGTGTTCTGGGTTTCTGGTTTTTTCTTCAGGAGGAAGCTCTCCTGTCCATAGCAGAATTTCTGTTAATATTTCATATACTCGTCAGCCTTTATGTAGTTCCTTCATCTCCA